ATTTTTATTTCTTTTTTGTATAATTTTAGATTTTATCTTTAAATATGTATTTATATTTTTTTATTAATATGTGAACGAGTTCCAAAAGTGTTTTTAGTATTGTATAATATTTGTTGAATTTTCATTTTAATCTTTTTAATAGAACAAGGAAATAATTACTAAAGATAGGTAAAGTTTTTTTTAAAACTTTTTTTTTTGGGGGGGGGGGGGACAATAGAACTAAAATTATCCTAGAGCATGTTTGAAAAACAGGAGGTGCACCCTAGTTGTTCAAGGAATTGATCAATCCCTTCCAATGATGTATTTCAGATTCTAATCCCAGAGATGGCTGGTTGATATAAAATATTCTTTAGTGTATCATGAGTTAGTTACCCTTGCCTTCAGGCTTACTGTGAACGGTTTTCCTCTCCACGTAATATAAATGCTGAATCCATCAAAAAAGTCCGCCACGAAAGCTAGTTTGTGCCAAGAGGTCTCTTGTTTTCAGGTTAGGTTCAAAACTACAAGGTTATTTGGTTGAAAAGTGATTATCATAAGCCAAAAAATAGGTTAGCTGTTCTAACTTTTAAGTTTGTGAGCATTAAACTATGAGATTATTTAAAACGAAGGGTTGCTGTCTTATAGTCTAATTGTACTGCATTCTCACATCCAAAGACAAAGTTTGTATTTCTTGTATGAAAAGTTCGTTTTTTAAAGTAGATCCATAATAAATATTCAATGATGAAACAATTTCTTTTCAAAGTTGTATTACAAAGTGTATTTTATCAATTTACAAATTTCACCTTATGATTCTCATTTATTAACAGTGCAATCCATATTCCTGCAATCAATTGTAATGAATTATACAAACAAGCAGTTGTCAGTATAGTTTTAAAAATTACATACGGATTTTTAAAATCATTAAAAAAATTCCTAATATATAAAACTGTTAACACCTTAAATTAAAACCCTGAGATAACCCAGGCATTTTCAATGTTTTACAAAATAATTGTCCCATTAAATTAATCTTTTTCATTTTTGAATCTTAATTCTTTTGTTCAGACGTTCAGGTTATTAAAATGTTTTTAATAATGCTAAGTTTAAAAGTTACTTATTTTTTTATTAATTTATTTATTTTCGTTATTCAAGTAAGAACACCGATTAAAACCAATGAAGTCATAAATAAGATATTAGAATGTAACACAGCAAAGAGTATAAAAAATATACTTTTAATTCTTTAGATTAAATTAAAAATATAATTTTTTATAAATTTTAACTTATCAAACAATTAAAAAATTTATTGTTAGTATTTGTATTAAAATCTAATTACAAACCAATACTTTTAATATCCTTGCTTACTATTGCTATTTTAATATTTCAGGACTTTCCTTGGTTGACAAGATCAAAATTATGAACAAAAAGAACTTTTGCTTTCTCCAATTTTTTAAAAAGATACACTAAGTAAAATATATTGGTGATGATATATTACCTGGAAGATAGATTTTGTAAGCATTGTTTTGTAATGACTTATTTTATATTTGTTACTTGTTAATTTTTATAGAATTTTATTTATAAATAAAAAAAATTTTATGGAAAAACTTCTATATTACTCTTTATGTTAATTTCATGAGTTGGTATCTAACTTGCGGGTAATAAGTTTGCAGTCACTATCAAAGAAAGAACTACTAAATCAACCAAACCTTATACATAGCTGCCACCATGGATAGGGAAAAATTCAGCAGATTTCATGAAATAATATAAATTTCTTGACAATTGTTACAAAATGTACTAAATATTTTACACTGTACTTATTTAGTAACAATTAAATATTCAAGCAGGCTATAATCTGCACAAAAATTCTATTTCATTAGGGATCTTTTAAGGAAACTTACTCAATTTTAGGGAATTTTCTAAAACATACAAAAACCAGGAGAGTTTTTATTAACCAGTTGACGAGGAGAAACTGGCAAAATCTAGTAGAGTTGGCAGCTATGCTTATTGCATATTCATGACCAGCTGAATATAGTGCAGAATTCCAAATGCTGCCTTTATTCCTAAATAATATAAAGTGCTATAATCTTAATTGGAGTTATCAATTCTGCAATAAAATAAGTATGCAATATAATATAATTAGACTATTTCATATTATCTGCCTTTATTCTCAGATAATGTGGAAATTTTCAGGACATTTATTGAAATGTTTAATAATAAAGGACACTTTCTTTTTTTTATAAGAATTTAAGGACAACTTTTGAGCCCTCCAATAAAAAGTATGAAATATTATTGAAGATTCAATTTAGCTTTCTGAAAAAAAAATATTTAGCCTTGCTTTTTATAGGGTGAATTTTTGTCTAGTAATTTTACGTTTAAATAGTTTTGGGATTGAGATTGAATTTATAAAAAGAAATTCATTTAGATTATTGCCTAAATTTAATTTTTAAGACCATTAATTTTTTTTAAGGAAAGGTTGGTGGGATTTTAAAATTTTACCTACTGTAAAAAATTGGACTTATAATTGATATTCTGTTTTTATAAATAATTAAATATATAAATTCTGAGTTTAGAACTACAAATTAACTCGAGGAAAAATGATCAAATAGGTTCCTAATGTTGGCCTCTCTTTTTGATTCCATCCTAACCTTTATTACCCACATTTATGTAAGCAAAACCCTTCATTGATTTTTATTTCTTTTTTGTATATTCTAAAGTTATTAGCAGATTGCCGCAAAAACTTTAATTAGAAAAATATATTTTTCATTGACATTTAAAAATCAATGCTGCTTATGGGAAGTATTTTTCCCATGACTTTACTAAGGTTTAAAAAACTCAGGGGGTAGAGCATTTGTCTTCCAACGAAGTGAACTGGGTTTGAATCCAAGAAATGGCTACTCGATACAAATTCCACATCTGGCTCGCACCAACCATAGTGCTGACGTAAAATATCCTCAGTGGCAGACGGATCATGAGTTAGAGTCCTCTTGTCGTGAGGTTTTCCTCTCAATGTAACGCAAATGTGGGTTAGTTCCATCAGAAAGTCCTCCGGGAAGGCAAATTTCTCCCTAGTCTTGAACCAAAAGTTCCCTTCAGGGTGACATTAACCAGATTTTTCAACATAAAATAAGCACCTTTTAAGTACTTTTTAAGCACTGAAAAAAAATTTTAATCACTTTCCAAAAAAAAAAAATTATAATAATAATTAGGATCTGTGCAGTAATAAAAATAATTTTCTTCGATTGTTTAAAATTCTTCATTTATAAAATCAAAAAAATTTCAAAAACTTTACATAATCATGGTAAAATAACTAGTTTTTGATAAATATTGTTGAGAAAATTGTGAAAATCACGCATTTGTAATTTTAGAACGACAATCGATACGGCAAAGAAAAAAATCTCTTTTCAAAAGATAGAAAATTAAATACTTTTTACAAACCCAGAATAAAAAAAAAGCACCTTTAAGGGTTTTTAAAAAACCTAAAAAAAATAAAAAAAAGCAACTTTAAGCACTTTTTAAAAACGCTACACACCCTGTCCTTGTCCTCTGGATTGGGTTCAAAATTACAAGGCTACGGAGTTGAATATTAGTAGTCATAAACCCAAAAAATGTTGAAAAATGAAAACCCCGGCTGTTCAATGATGGTTATAAACTAAAATATAAAGAGTAATGGAGTAGCTTCAAGCAATTTTGTATAAAATTTTCGGTTTTTGAAAAATAATTGCATCATCAAAAAGAAGAAAGGCACACTTAATTTGTCATAAAGAAAAACTGAACTTTATTCTAAAATAAATAATGATGAATTAGTCTCAACAAGTGTGAAAAACAACACAAAAAATTATAACTAAACATAGAATAGAAAAAAATATTGCAAGTCTTTTAAAAATATTTTTTGTAGTTACCGTTTCATAGTAAAAGTTCAATATCATCGTGTTACGAAAAATATGTAATTGCAGGCATTGTTTATCACAGTAAAAAACTGTTCAGCAACTAACAAGTGGATGAGCTCCATCTCGAACAACAGTACGGTAAACACAGAAAATATATCATTGTTTGTTTGTATATAAGGCCTCCTCAAGTTATTTTGGAGATTCTAAAGGCACTTTTTGAGCGGCACTATTTTCTTGGATTCTTTTCCTTCCTAAAGGATGAACTCTGATTGCTGACTGGAACAAGTTGCTGCTGAAAAAGGAAAAGATATACTTCAATCTGCAGTTTTCATAAAAGTAAAGAAAGTTATATTTTACCAGCATTGAATATTGGTTACCATTGGTCACACATCTTTTTTCATTCATACTTTTTCAAGAATTCATTTAGTAATTTAAGTGTTTTACCCATTTTTACATACTAACAAAAGAGATATTTTTTAAAGACTGTGATTTTAAAAATTTGCCAATTCTGAACGCTCTAGATATACAGTCGAGTCTCATTAACGTGAAATCGCTTAGCGGGAAATATAGTTTTACATGAACACATGTTTGGTCACGTGAGTCAGCAATCAATTATTATTGTATTTTACATGTTTAACATGAAATTTACAAGCTGAATATCATTCAACATGAAAGGGAACTGAACACAACACAGATAAGAGGCATGTGAATAAAGTGCCAATTATTCATTTCGACAAATGCTATTTCTATTATCCACCTTTAAATGGACAAAAATATAAATTAATTACTTAAATTGGCCAAAACTTTTAAAATGACTACATTTGAGGTCATTACAAAACTCTAAACTTTCTTCTAAAACTGCCGTTTTGTGTTCTCCAATTAAACTGCCTCGAGTTTGAATCCCAGTGAAGGCAGGTCGATATGAATTCTGCATGTGGCTTGCACCGACCACAGTGCGGACGTGAAATATCCTCATTGGTAGATGGATCATGGGTTAAGAGTCCCCTTGTCGTCAAGCTAACAGTGGGAGGTTTTCTCTCCATGTAACGCAAATACGCGTTAGTTCCATTAAAAAGTCTCCACGGAGGCAATTTTCTCATAATACTTGATCCAGGAATTCCCTTGCTTTTCGATTAGATTCAAAATTACAAGGCTATGGAATTAAACATTAGTAATCGCAAACCCAAAAAATTGGGTCGGCTTTTCAAGGACGGTTATAAAATTAAATAAAACTCCTTGCATACACTTTAATCTTAAAAATACTTAATTTTTTAAAGATTTCCTCCAGATTCCCTGATGATTACGAGAAAAAAGTACAAAAATAATCGGAATTGTGATAATTTAAATATAAGAAATATTATTGTTATTATTTGGTTACAAGTCTTGTTGCATTGGAACCTAAGCGCAATAATTTAAATACATAAAAAATAAAATCAAAGGTGTGGAAAAGAATTAAAAACAATATAGCTATCAAATGCATTAAAAGGAAACATCCATAAATTCGTTACAAATGAGCAAAAGATTATTAAATATTAAAATTTTTTGAGTAAAGTTACAAATGTTTCAGAGAGCAGGGAGGTAGGTGAATGATCAACCATGTTTTTTTTTTTCATAATTAAAAGAATTATATCTTGTATGACCAATAGAATCTAATGAATTATGTAGAAATCAATCACCTTTTATTCTAAAAGTAAATAAAGAGGGTAATCAACAAAATTTTTTATAGCAACTACATACCTGCCAAGTCACCTGTTTTTTAATGAACACTCTGTATTTTACAACTATCTCTTGTTTTTCTGTATATTCTCAAATTTCTCCGTATTCGTTGAAGAAATGAAAAAAAAAGAAAGAAAGAAAAAAAAACAATTTTGATTATAAAATATCTGCTAATGGCAAATATACTTCTCTTATTCCTCAACAGATGGTGCAAGTATTGCAGTATGTTGAGTGTTAATAGTTTAAGTAATTATAAATAATGGTTTATAAAAATCTTTTTTAGATTAAGATTTATATACATATTTTTTACTTTGCTAAATGTAAGTGCTTATATTATTTCCACTTTTAAATTTCTCTTTTTGACTTGCATGATGCATCAAAATTTTAGTTGTAGCACCAAAAAAAATGTCAATAGTAAAATCTCCGTTATTTTATTTCTTCAATGTAGGCAGGTATGCAACAATCTCAATTCTGATAATACACTAATACACAGTTTGCATACAAGAACTGAAATTTAAACATAAGTAAAAAAAAACTGCATCTTTATTTCATTAAATTAAAAAATTCAAAGGATTAAATCATACATAAAGTGTTTCATTTTGTGGTCAAAATATTAAAAGACACACAACCAAAATCAAAACGAAACTTACTTGCTGAGCAGAGGATAATGATAGAGACACTGGTATGGTAATAAATTGTTGCTGTGAACCACCACCTGCAGAAAAGTGTTTTTCAAAATTAATACTTTAAGTACTATCGAATTATTTATAGTAAAATTCTAAGAAAAATTAGATTAAAATTTATTTTGAATCTATTTCATTGAATGATTTGAAATTTACTTTTATTTCAAGTTTTCAGCACTGGCATAGATGAAATAAAAACGTTTTAAAAATCATTACAATTAGTAGGAGTTTTGTATTTTTTTGGAAAAATTAATTTAGGATAAAATATTCATTTAAAAAAATCAGCTAATTAGAAATTGAAAATGAGTGATTTTTTTAAAATATTCCCAAGATTTTTAAATTTTCATCTTGTTTGGTAGACAGACCATATATTACAAATAGTATTGCAAGAGTAAATATATATATGAATGTTTGTCTGTGTTTGCCCTATATAGACACCTAAACAACCCAATCAAATGGGATGAAATGTGGCATTCAGATAGTTCAAAGCACGAGGAAGGTCACTGCCAATGTTAGAACATTCTAAAACAAACCATTCGAGTAGGATGTGAAAAAAACAAGATGGAAGTTTCTGAACGGTTAAACATTAGCCGTTGTTTTAAATTTAACTGCAAAATTTTAATTGTTTTAAATTAACATCAGTGATATTCACTAGCTTATAGCTCTATTCGATCAAAAAAGGCTCACTTTAATATTCAATTATTTTTTATTGGTAATGTCAGATAAATTCAATGAACTAAACAAAAGTGGTAGCATTTGTGGACTACGTCACCAAATTAATATTTCATAAGTATCTGATACCCCAAATGTTTATTTTGTTCATACTAATTCGTTTAAAATGTGTTTTATTAAAAGTAAATAATTTTAAAATCAATGGTAATTAAAATTTTTAAAAAATCAGTTATTAAAGGCAAAGTTAATGAAGTAAAGGTACTTATTTGTCAAGAGGAACCGTTAAAAATTGCCATACTATTATTGACGATGATGATGCTCAATTAATGTTAAATTGAAACAAAAAAATATTACAATATATTGTATAATATACAATATTACAATTTATACTAAACGATTACAGGGACAAATGTTTGTGCTGGTGGCACTCAAAAAAACAGTCATCAAGACATGTCCCCAAGACTGATAAGTACCTTAATATTTGTAGCTCAAAATACAATTTTTTTTATGTAACATGAATACTAAAATAACTCAGATTGAAACCATATACCACATTAGAAGCAAAGCATCTCTAAATATATGCCAGTCTTAACAGTAGATATTGTAGACTGTATATTTATGGTAGAGGAGCACAACCTGTGGCCCGCGGGCCGCATGGACTGTTGATGTTCGGCCCACAGGAACTTCTGAATGCAATACAAAAAATTTTCATTTAGGTTTTCTTTAATTAAAATATTTAATTCAAATTTATATTACTCTATAAAATATATATATATTTTTGCACTTTCATTCTGTAAAAATTTATATCCCCCCAAAACATATATATATATATATAATAAATTAATTATTGAGAAAAATGGAAAAAGATTTTAAAAAAAAAAGTATCAGTTTTTTTAGTTTTAAATAAATTCAAAAAATTAAAAGTATTTCATTTTTAGCAAATATGTTATTAAGTTTACTGACAAAAATATTTAATGCTTAGAACATTATTGTTTTTATAAAAATTATCATATTTGCCGCTAACATAACTAACTATGCCTGCGGCCCTTCGTTAATCTACCTGCTATGCAAGTGGCCCTTCACTCAAAAAGGTTGTGCGCCCCTAATTTATGGCATTTAAAGAGCACTATCAAAGTCAACACTATCTGTCTGATAGTGTTGGTTGGTGTTATGTCATGTAAAAAGAAAAATAGTGCAAATGAAAAATTCTTACTGTGTTCTTGTCCTAAGTTTAGAACAACACTGTCAGACAGATTGCTGGGAGCTGCAGCATAAACAAGACCCTGACCAGTGTGGTAAAAAAGCCCATTGTTGTTCGTTTGCAAAATTGTTTGTGGAAGAACTACGCTACCTATAGAATTAAACAATCAAATTAAAACATGCCTTTATTTTTATGATTCTATTTCAGAGTGAAAATAATAAATTTGAGTAAGAGAGAAAGTGCTACAATAAACTTTTCAAGCAGAATGTAGTTTCTGTTTTGCAAGTTTCCCCCTTTAGGCAAACACTATAGTATGGAATAATAATAATAAAAATTAAATAAATCTATAAAACTAAGAAAAGTGAGAGAAAAAAATTATAATTTTATAAAGACTAATTTTAAATACTTCTATATTTTATTAGTTACATTTTATCTAATTGACAGATAGTAAAGACACAGTTTCCAGTAGAACATCGAAGTCAAGCATCACTGGCTGCGGTTAGTAAGCAGGTGGGTGACCACATTGACCAGCCTGAGTAGGGACTGAGGTGCGCGGTATCCGTCCTCATTAAACTGTTCTACTGTAAAGTGCTCGTCTCCGAGCGCAAGTCATTGGGCTACCAAAGCAGGGGGGTCATCCCTTCTACAGAGGATCAAAATTGAGATGGCATGGATCATCATCAGAGATATATTCCAGATGGTCACCAATAGCCCATTGTGCAGTTCTAGTACAACATAAATAAAGTACCTACCTACCTTTATTTCACAAAAATTTTTTTTTATTAAAATGTTTTAATATATTGTATGCTTTTGTAAGTATACATTTTAATTTATAGTAAAATGTTTACTTTTAAAAGTATGCAATATATTTATCTTTTAACATACCAAGAAAAAATTATTTTTGGAAAAAATGCATATACATATTTGGCAGGCTCTTTTTTAATTTTTTGAAAACTGTAAAAAATCTTCTATGTCCACATAAAATAAGTCTCTGAAACCAGGCTGAGAATTATAATGTCTGAGAATTATAGTCTCCTTGCCGTCAGGCTAACCTTGGGAGGTGTTTGTAGTTTTCCTCTCAGTGTAATGCAAATGCAGGTTAGTTTCATCAAAAAATTCCTTCACAAATTCAAATTTCTCCCAATACTTGACCCAGGAGTTCCCTTGTCTTCTGGATTGGGTTCAAAAAGACAAGCCTGAACCTTAGTAGTAATCTTAAACCCGAAAAATTGGGTTGACAGTTCAACGGCAGTTATAAAAATAAATAAAATTCTGAATACTAAGGGATGTGTTGTGATGGCTCAGGGGATAGAGAAAAAAATTATGGATAGAGAATTTTAGGGATTTTTATAGTCATCAAAATAGAAAAAGTTCAATATTTTTCAATTATGATGGACATTAAATTTAATAGAAATGTTATGCTTTATGTGTACTCATAATTTCGAATAGTGATAGGCATTTAATTCAGCAAAGATAGTTAAAAGATTTTTTAATTAATTTAAAACGGGAGTTCTGAATAAAAATAAACTGAACATTTTAGAGCCAAAAAAGGTTTTAAACTGATTTCTATAAATGAGGCTTGCTTCATTATGTATCAGTAATACTTATCTAAATATTCAAACAAGTAATAATCAGTGCAAAAAGTCCATTACAATAGAGATTTTTTTTAAAAAAAACTTATGCAATTTTAGGGAATTTTCTGAAATGTACAAAAAACCAGTAGACCAGGAGAAACTGGCAAAATCCAGTAGAGTTTTTCAGCTATGCTTTAGTTATATGTCGTGATTCTGATGCAATTTATCAGTAAATTTTTTTTTATCGCCTGAGCAAAGGATAGCTTTGCTTTTCATGGGTCAAGATGCCCATGAAAATCTATCCTCAACTTAGGCTTTCAATACATTCAATGTGATATCAGTGATTGCAATCAATGTGATTAAGATAAGAAAAAACAAACCTGAGACAACAGATAAGTTTGAGCTTTGTACAGCAGCAGAGTTGTTGTGACTAGATGATGAAGATTCTGCTCCTCCGCCCAATGGACCTTTTTTTTTTGTAAAAAACAAGGGGAAAAAAGTGAGAGAGAGAACAAAAACATATCACCAATAATTAAAGGTATTAACTCAAGTTATGAACTTTATTTGTGTACATAGATGTCATTGGTGAAATAACTGAAGAGGTCAGTGGTAGAATTTCAAAATGACAACAAAAAAATGTCCTGATATTTCACTGATTTTATAGAATTTCTCTAGTTTTTAGTAAGTGGTCCCTATTTTTAGGAAAAATATTGGACTTTTAGATACCTAAAAATGAAATTTCCTGATTTTTTTTAGGTTGATAAAATTTCATAATTTTTTCCAGTGCAGTGGTCATCCTGAATTTATAAAATGACAGTTTGAAAACAAAAACAACTTTAGTTGTTGTTGTTTGTTTACCTCACACTAGGCTGCATAATGGGCTATTGGCGACGGTCTGGGAAACTTTGCTGAGGATGATCCAAAAACATATCATCACAATTTTGATCCTCCTCAGAGGGAATGGCTCCCCTGCTTCGGTAGCCCGACAACCTGCGCACAAAGTCGAGTACTTTATAGTAGAACAGTTTAATGAGAACCGATACAGCACACACTTCGATCCTTTGCAGGCTGATCAAAGTGGTCACTCACCCGCACACTGACTGAAGCCAGTGTTGCTTGACTACTGTGTTCTATTGGGAGCATGTCTTGACGATCAGTCCACTGCGGAACAACTTAAGGAATATATAGAATTATCAGAAGCTTCTTAAAAAAAATAAATAAATTCCATTTAAAACTGTCTTAATTAAAAATATGGCAAAAGAATGTAATTTTTCGTATAAAGGCCTCATTTGAATAGCAAGACAGTATACACTTTCATTCATTTCAAAACACAGAGCCATTAAGTCTAATAAGTGTATGATTTTTCATACCTTGTCTAGTTTTTAGTGCCTTCTGCTGGAATAAGAAATAAGCTCTAAGTTTAATAGCTTTACAATAAGATAGAGATAACTTGTATAAACATAAAAATGAGATTATAAGTAGAGTCCAACAACTGTTCAAACAATTGATTTATATATGCATACAACTAGGAATAACATATTCTTAACACCAACATTTGTGCTTTCAAATTGCCATAGAACATTGTTAAGTTATTTTCCATATAAAAATGTATATTTCTCTTCAATTATAAGATTAATATCTCTTCAATTATTTGCATATCCAATTAATAGAAAGAACAAAAAGGTTTCTTTTTTTTAAGGGTGCTTTCAGCCAAAATGGTTAATTTATTATTTTTATTTATTGATAGATTCATGAGAATTAATATTTCCTCATTTATTTCAGACCTATTAAATAAGTATATAGTATTAAACTTAGGACTCGGAATATTCCCCGAGTAGTAAATGGTGACTGGTGCACGTTAAATCTGTCTAGTCGCTAAGACCTCCATGTTCCCATAACAAATCAATAACTCTGGGGGTACTGATCCAGGAGTTTCCTTGTCTATGGGATTCTGCCACATGGTTAATAAAAGATTACAAAAATTAACCACTCATCTAGAAATTGATACACCTAAAACTGAAAAATAGACTTGGAAATAAGACAGAGATGGGAGCCCGATATCCAGTGAAAGATTTTATCCAAAACCTATTGTTTTTATGATGAAATTAAATTTTTCAACAAATATTTTGTCTTAAATCAAAATATTAAATAAAGAATTAATTAGGATTTTCAAATAAATTTAGAAATGAAGTATTAAGGCATTAAACTGTACATATTCTTTACGGTTAAAAAAAACAACACTTAAATAACAAATTTTGCTGCAAATAACTTTTTTTGTTCAACCATAGAAAAAGTTTTGCATACATTTATATAGAAATGAGTTTTAGAACAGATACTTCATTTTCCATCTTAATTAAAGGCATATTATAGTTTGTCTATGGTTAGAACTCTATCGCCAAAAAGTCTGCTGCTATGGAAACAAGAATAGCACATTTCAGGAAAGGTAGCTTCTCTTCACTTTAAGGCTAACACAATAAACCGAAGAGAAAGATTCCCTTTCTAAAACCTTTCCCAAAACCTCTCCTAAGCAATGACTCCACACCCCTATTTGAAATAGTTATTCTTCGTTCCCATAGTCAACACCACTGATCCAAACGAATGGCTAGGGAGTTCTTACTTTAGACAAACTAAAGTATGCGTTTAAAAAAGTTAAATACATTTCAATTTATATAAATTGTCTGTTCTCAATTGTCTAAAAGTCTTCGATTAAATGACAAATTAAAAAATTTCTGTTTTTGAAGTAAAATTTATTGTACAGTAAATCAGTTGTATACATATTTATAATAATACAGAAAATTTTGAATATATCCACTGGATTCTTTCAAATGGACCCACCAGAAAAAAACCAGGGTGGGTCTTTTTCAGCTTGCTACTGTGAATCATGAAAATAATAGCCAAATTATCAAAGTGGCCAAATTTCTTATCTAATAGTTTACTTCCTTGGAATCAGGAAGAGGAATAGTTGCCTGTGGCAACCTTGCAACCATTTACCTTGTTTCCTACCACAACCATTTACCTAATGAAAGAAAGTGTTGTGACACCTGGTGGCTGAGTGGCAGCGCTTTGCGCTTTCATGCCACAGGTCCTGAGTTCAATCTTTAGGCCGGGCAAGATTGACTTAGCCTTCTATCCCTTCTGTGGGTTGATAAAATGAGGACTAAACAGTGGGAGTCGCGTATTTGGCTGACACCCAACCGGAACATCTGCTCCTGCACCCCAAAGCCCAAGAAAATTGATATGGGCACTTAGGCTTTGGCTCTCTTTGGGCTGTCATGCTCACCACTTAGTTTAGAAAGTGTTGTAAGATGCAACTGTGTGACCAAGATACTGACCTGATGAGAGAGCCTGACCTATAACCCTCTGGTGGTTGTCAGAAACATTCTCAGGTGGAGATGGGGGAGAGTATCCGGCATTATCTGGACTGTCCGGCATCTGTCAAAAAATGAAATTCAGTTAGTATTCTTGATAAAGTTTTAGGCATAAATAATAATAAAATTTATAAGTTTTATCACGGTTTAGTATAAAATATAAGTATATGGTACATTTTCATTTATTTCCATAATTTGGGTGCATAGTGGAAATTTTAAATTGTGAAACAAATCTTTCAACAAAAAATAAGCACCTTTTAAGTACTTTTTAAGTACTAAAAAAATATTTACATCAACAAAACACAAAATAATTTTCAAAGACTTTACATGATCATGATAAAATAACTAGTTTCTGACAAAGAACTCTTTTCTTGATTATATTAGCCATTATAAAATGATCAAGAGATTTTTAGGTTCAATATCAAAGAGGGGGAAATGAAGCCTTGAGAATATCTTGCAAAATGCAGCAGAGTTGCACATGAGAGTACAATAATCTCATCGAACCCAGCTTAGGCCTCGCATGTATTTCATCAAACATGTAAAATGATTGGCACTTTCACACCCCAACGACTGACTGTACACCAAAATAGATTGTGGTTGATTTAATTGTGAAAACGTTGAATAGAACAATGAGAAAAGCATGCTTTTACAAAATACATGGTGAAAATCGACATGCACTTTTCGAAAATCTCATTTTATTAAGCACTTCTTAAAAACACTCAATGAAAAAAACACCTTTAAGGGCTTTTAAAATACGAAAATCAAAAATAAGCACCTTTAAGCACTTTTTAAAAAAGCTACGCACCATGCAAATACCTCCACAAGTTGTCAAAATTACTTTGCAAATTGGTTGATAGAAATATAATATCTCAAGATGATATAATTAGAATGCATAATATAAATTTGGCATTTTTAGATTTAATAACAGTGGTTAAAAAAAAATGCGTCAGGTTGTGGTTAATCTTAACTGAGAGGAGTATACTGCAGATTTTACAGACCATTTAAATATAAAATTCTTTATAACCATATTTTTTTAATCCCAAAAGAGCTGTGCAAATTTCACAAATGTATGAAAAATCCCACACATATATATGAAGAGGATAAAAGTTAGTACATAATTGAGACAAAGAGGCTCAATAAGTAATGGAACATATTAAGGGCTTGACAAAAGTTACGAAGTTTCAAGAGCCAAGAAAAATTCTTAGGAGTCAGCTTCAAGAATTATTGACTTTATCGCACATGCAGTGAAATAAAAAAAAAAGCTTATCATAGACATTTTTAGTGATCCTATGTGAGTTTTATCCACGGTAAATGAGTTAAATATTAAAACAAAAAGTCAAATTCAGCAAAACTTTGGAGGAGGAAATAAATCTTTTAAATTGTAATTCCTTTATTATTCTATAAAACAAACTATGAATTTAACAATTAAGCAGTAGGTAAATTAATATTGATACAATTATAAAATGGATGAAGAAAAAGTTATCAGTTTTGCCTTTTGATTCTAACTTTTCCTGCTAACAACAAATATTAAATAACAAGTTGAAAAAAGTAGTCAACAAGGAAATTTTTTTAGTTGCTTTAACAACCTGATGCAAACTTATGTATTATTGAAGTGAGCCATATATCTCTCAAATTCTATTTTATTTTTTTATATCTCTGTCTGGCAACACTTATTCCTTAATACTCAGTACACAGTTGGTAGCTGTTACAATTAGAAAATTTTCTACCTGTTGCCTCTCTGTATTGGATGAAAAATAACAGTTCACAATGAGGACTCTTAAAAGTTTCAACAAAAAAAAATAATAAATATAATTTTTTTTGTTGTTAATTTTATAAATTTTAGCAATATGCAAACTCGACTATTTTTATAAATTTTATAACATAGTTGAGTAGTAAATAATGAAGGGAAAAAATTATGAATTTCTTTTGCACAAGCACAATCGAGTCAGATAGGATAAAGTGGATATAAAAATCAAGCTTTAAAAAAAAAGAAAGAAAGAAGACGGCTCCAAAACCAAGCCATTAAATTTATTTTACTGAAAATTTTAATGCATATTATATATACCGGATTCATATAAATTAAATATGAAGCCTAACTTATCTATTTTGTTTGATTGTTTTCTTACAGTAATGCATTCAAAAGAACATGTTTTGTTATACCCACTTTATCCCAGAGAGGGGTAAAGTGGGTATTGTTTCAAAAATGAGTATATATTTCCCTAAAAAATACATGAAAATATTGTTTTCAAAATAAAAATGCTTTTATGTATTATAATTATATTTAAAAAATTAATGCTAAAAATATTTTTTTTCGTATTATTAAATTAAGGAGTAATGTTCATGGTTATCAATATCAGATTTCCCTTTAGAAGCAGTGTATCTCCCCACAATTTCATCAAAAAGCAAGAAAACTGTAATAGTTTTTGGTTTTATTTGAAATATAAATGAGAATTTCAAACATTAATATCTATAGTGGTAATTTTAAGTGTTTTTACTATTTACAGCAGACACGTATTTTTATTCTATTTTAGTTCTTTTAAAGAAATTTGTTTTGTTTTCCAAAAAAATACTGGCACATTATGAGGACACCATACTGTGGAAGAAATTTTTAATCGCAAATTCTTTCTCCTTCATTACTAATTTAAAATTTAGAAAAGGTGAGTTCAGACAAACCTAAAGTAAGCCATAATGTTTCAAATAGTGAAAAGAAAAATTTTAAAATATACAAATAAAAATAAATAATGAGATGATAACTTAGGATTACGCAATGGAGAATTTCTCTTCCAATAATTTGTTTACATTTTAATGTTTTGAAGTATTTTTTCAGCATTCGAAACTTCATGACAAATTCTAAGTTTGTCTGAACTCACTTTTAAATTAGTAATGAAGGAGAAAGAGAATTTGAGACAAAAATTTCCTTCCGCGGTATGGCGTTCGGGTTCGCTTAATGCAGAAAGTCATATCTATAAATATGTTCACAAAGTTTTACAACTATACTATTTTGATAATTTTTTTAATTGTATAACATGTCTGTTCATCCCTATCTTTCTTCACTTTAAAAAATAAAATTTAAAACAATTTTTGTTTTCTGTGTTAAAATTACTGTGTATGGCTAAAATCGAATTAGTAAATTATTTATTAGCTATTTCATTACAAAATATAGAGCATTAGATACTCACTAAATCTAACGGATAAGTAACAAAAATATCCCTTATACAAACACTTACCTAAACCTAACCATATACCACCTCAGAAAACAATTCATAATAAATAGAATTTCGAAGCTTATTCTTAAATTTCTATGTAGTTCTGTTTTTAGATGTCCCTCTACCAGTTTGAACCAAAATTAACAGTTTTTGCCAGGTTTCAATCAAATTAGAAGAAAGTTCATCAACAGCTTTAACTAACATACTGTATAAGTTAATACATAATATACATAAATAGTAGATAGTTTGCAGATATTAAACTTTTTTTTGACACTTACCCCACCTCACCCTTTAATATTAGTACTTCTAACATTCATATCTGGCTTAATTTTGATTTTTTTTTTCAAAGAATTTTATAGCTATCTTTGTGTTATAGGGGTATTTGTGAAGGTAAAATACACGCAGTTTTGGTAGTATTTTGATTTGAACTCTTTTAATGAGGGAGTTAAAATTAATGAGAAAAAGCTAAAATTAGGAGATTATTTTTTATCAAAAAATATAAGAACTACGACCTACATATTCACTAACTATTACAACTATAAACCTACATAATACTTTAGAGAGATAAACCACCACGTAATATTTGCGAAGCAAGTAAAATTTTTTTAGAGAAAAAATTTGAATTAATAATTTTTCACAAATTATTCTTTATATAAAAAAAGTGCATAAAGGATAAATTTAATTGCCGAACAGGAAAAATTTCGAATGAATATCTATGGAATTGGATTCCCATTTATTGATGTTTAGTTATTGTAATAATTGCATACTTGTTTGATATCTTTTATGATAAAAAAAAGTATTGCTTCCTTAGATTCTATATATTAGCCTCTTAGAAAAAAAAAAAAAAAAAAGACTTAAAGCAATTTTTCTAAACCTTTACATTATTAAAGAGGTAAACCACCACATAATATTTGTGAAGCAAGTAAATTTTTTTAAAGAAAAAAATTTAATATGATTAATAATTTTTTAAAAATTATTCTTTATATTAAAAAAAAAGTGCTTAAAGGATACATTTAATTGCCGAATGGGGAAAATTTCCATTGAATATCTATGGAATTGGATTGCCATTTATGGATGTTTTGCTATTGTAATAATTGCATACTTGTTTGATTTTCTTTATGATAAAAAAATAATTACTTTCTAAGATTCTATATATTCTCTAGAGGAAAGAGAAAAAAATCTAAGAGCAATGTTTTTAAACCTTTTTATCTTTAGCGAGGTAAACCACCACATAATATTTGTGAAGCAAGTAAATGTTTTTAAAGAATAAAATTTAATATGATTAATAATTTTTTAAAAATTATTCTTTACAAAAAAAAAAGTGCCTAAAGGATAAATTTAATTGCAGAATATGAAAAATTTCTAATGAATATCTATGGAATTGGATTTCCTTTTTATAGATGTTTTGCTATTGTAACAATTGCATACTTCTTTGATATCTTTTATGATAAAAAATAAATACTTCCTACGATTCGATATATTAGCCTCTTGGAAAGAAAAAAACAAATTAAAGCAATGTTTTTAAACCTTTTTATCTTTAGAGAGGTAAACCACCACATGTTTGTGAAGCAAGTAAATGTTTTAAAGAAAAAAATTTAATATGATTAATAATTTTTTAAAAATTATTCTTTATATAAAAAGAGTGCTTTAAGGATAAAGTTAATTGTCGAAAAGGAAAAATTTCTAATGAATATCTATGGAATTGGATTCCCATTTATGGATGTTTTGCTACTGTAATAATTGCATATTTATTTGATATCTCTTATGATAAAAAAAATATTATTTTAAGATCCTATATATTAGCCTCTTAAAAAAATAATAAATAAAAAAAAACTTAGAGCAGTGTTTCTAAACCTTT